CATGATGATAGCCTTAGCACTTGAGCGTTATGTAGTTGTATAGTTGAGTTTCTATACTTGCTGAGTGTGTGCCAACAGTTAAAGAAGAACCTCAAGGCGCTATATCTCGTCGTTTGACGTCAATGGCCTCTTATACCTCGGATACACGTTGGGGGTCTTTGATAAACTGGGCCCGCATTCGTCATTCCAAGTTGGGGGATTCGACGATTCTCTTTCCCCTCCCCCACGTTCTCTTCCTCTTTTGTAACTATATGCAACTCTATTCATCTTCCGCTACCGGAGAATTTCACTCCAACTACAATCATATTAGTAAGCCCGAGATCGTATCTGACGACCCCAGCATATCAGATCATGTATGTATATATATATACATATCAAGTCACTCACGATATGGAACTCAAGTAATATCACATTTCTCATAACCGTCCATAAAATACACATACAAAATAAATTATTACAATCGAGACAGATAAACGAGAGGGAAATTCCATATACACGCCTGGTGTAGGCCTATACCAAAGATTCGCTGCATCAATCTCCTATTCCTAGTTGATAATGATGGCTCGTCTCGGCTCCTGACTTCCTTTACATTGCCACTTTGCTCCGTTGGATAAAAATCCATATCAACTTAGACATCAATCGCTAAGCGTATGCCCAGGCCAGTTCGCCCCTCGCTAGGAAGTCCCATTCTCGTTCATGTCTCGCAAGGGCATGTCATCCAATTCCATACGCAATGCTCGCTGTAGAAATATGCGCTTGAGTTGAATAATCACCGCTTTTTCCCACGCGTCACACATTGCATGTGGCGTGAACTACCCATCGCATCACCTTCGCCTCCTCTGACCCCAATCTTGGCGTGTTATCCACTACCAAACCTCGGAGCTCACCCTTCAGTGTTTGATGTGTCTGCTGCAGCTGGTGGCGCTGGTGTCTCCGGGGGCTGAGGATGAGCCACACCGCCGAGGCCAGGAGGTGTCGGGGCTTGTTGAGGGATAGGCAATGTCATAGGTCCCTTAGGAGCGATGATACGCCCAGGGAGACTCTCACCGCGAATCACCTTCTCCACCTCGGCCTTGTCCAAAGTCTCGTACTTAACAAGAGCCTTGGCTAACAAGTCGAGTTCGTTTCGCTTGTCCGTCAACAGTTTTCGTACATCCTCGTACGATTTTCGTATTGTCCTCTGAACCTCGCCTTCAATTGCTGCCTTTGTTTCCGAACTGAGGTTCTCGTATCTGCGGCCATATTCAACAGGCCCCAGAGCACTAGACATGCCAAAGAGTGTCACCATCATGAAGCTCAGGTCGGTGGCCCTCTCGAGATCCTAAGAGAAATGAGTATATGGTTATGATAGCTTATCCTTTAAAACTTACCGATGAAACACCTGAGGTCACCTTGTCGTCACCGTATCTTAGCTCTTCGGCCATCTTTCCTCCAAGTGCGACGCGGATGTTTGACATATACTCAGCAGCTGTGTAAGAATACTTGTCCATCTGCGGAAGTTGCGCGGTGTGGCCCAGCGAGGGACCCTTGGGAAGGATTGTGACCTTGTACAGAGTGTTTGAGCTCTCCTTGTCGAAAAGCTGCACAAGCGCATGACCAGCCTCGTGATAAGCAGTCATCTCCTTCTCTTTCTCAGTGATAACCATTGACTTGCGTTCGGAACCCATGGTGACTCGGTCGTAGGCCCATTCCATATCTTGCTTCCGAACAACGGTGGCCTTGGCCCGGCTGGCTCGGAGAGCGGCTACATTCAACATGTTCTCAAGCTCAGCACCAGATCGACCGGGGCATCGAGCAGCAATAGCTTCAAGGTCAACATCTGGCCCAACCTTGATCTTCTTGGCGTGGTGCTTGAGAATAGCAATACGGCCACGAACATCAGGCAATTCGACATTAACGTGACGGTCAAATCGTCCAGGTCGGGTAAGGGCCTTGTCGAGCATTTTGGGCAAGTTGGTGGCTCCGATGATGATGATTTTGCTGTCCTGATCGAAGCCATCCAATTCGGTAAGCAACTGGTTCAGTGTCTGCTTGGCATGGGCTTGGTCCCGCGGGTTTCGCTTGCCTCCAATGGCATCAAGTTCGTCGATGAAAACAATGGCAGGGGACTTGCTCTTGGCTGCAGTGAAGAGGTCACGGACTCGCTTGGCACCGACGCCAACAAAGATCTCGTCAAACTCGCTTCCAGACATGTAGAAAAAGGGGACACCAGCTTCGCCGGCAACAGCTCGAGCAAGAAGCGTCTTACCAGTACCAGGAGGACCAACCAGGAGGACACCCTTGGGCAGTTTAGCACCAAGATCACTGAACTTTTCGGGATTCTTCAGAAACTCGACAACTTCTTGGAGTTCTTCTTTCGCTTCGTCGCAACCGTGAACATCGTTGAATCGAGTATTTTGCTTCTCAGCCTTGACCTCGGAGTCTGCCTTGCTACTAGGTCCACCGCGACGGAATGTACTGAACGCCTCGATGGCAATAGTAACAAGCGCGAAACAGAGATAGGTGGTCACAATGAAGATGGCCAGAAACTTGACCCAGCGGAAGATAGTAGACCGAGTTGACTCCTGAACGATAACGTGAATGGGCTCACCCTTATGACCCATAGGATTACCCCCATTGGCGGACCCAGCCACAGCAGCGTTGGCAATGCCTTGCTCATAAGTTGGCCATTGAGTTCCAGCGAAGTTTCCGTTCACAGCGCCTTGCGCATTCGCAGCTTGGTTAGCGTTAACACCAAGCATCGTGAGGGCTCGCTGGTAAGCATCGTTGGTTGCAGCGTTGGAGGCAAAGCGTCCAGATTGATATCGTTCCACAAGAATAGCAGGCATGTTGGCACGGAGAAGGAGCTGGTAGAAAGCGTTTTGCGCGTTCGCATTACCGGGATTTCGATTGGCGGATTCCTCCAATGTTGCCAGCTGGTTGCGGGAAATGCCATTGGAGCTGCCGAATGCTCTGCGCTGAACAGAAAATGCACTGGGAGTTGAGATACCACGAGGAGACGAGAGAATACCGGAGGAAGACTGCGAAAACGAGCGTAGGAAAGACGACTGGGTCAATACGCGGGGCTGAAATTGAGGGTGTCGCAAAATGGGGTTGGCCGCTCGGAGGCCAATGCGGCCCATATTGGAAAGGGTTGCCTGAGCAGTCATCGGGGTCATGGGAGAGAATCGTGAGCGAGAGAGGGAACCAAAGTCAACTTGTTGAAGGAATTCGGGGATTCGAAATTTGGTCAACTGTGACAAAGATTAGTATGATGGTTGAAAATGTCAAACAGTTGCAACAAACTTGTTGAGCTTCTGTCACCTTTGTCTGTTCCACGCCATTCTTCGAAGGGATCGATCGACCGGGTGTGACTGAAGTCATGTGCCGCCATGGAGCCATAGCGATATTCGTAATCGAAGGCCATAACTCCGTTGTTGTTGCTGCCATGTTCTAGAGCCTCGTTAGTCACCGTCGGTGATAGCTCCCTTCTAAACTCCGCAACGACATACTGGCAGCATCATGGCATTGTAAGCCATTCTGGGGAACTATATGCACCAGAAGTGCTTTCAGGGTGATGATTTTCGTACTGATGCTCAGAAAAAGGTTGATTGTAAAGTGTCTTGATGACGTGCAAGTTAGTAGGCAGATGGTCTGCGCCTCCGCCACGTCTAACGGTTTCTCGGAGGCAAACGTTTGCCGTGCGCCGAGATTGCCTTGTGGTAAGTCTACTCAAAGAGACGAATGGATTGTCTACCGGGATGCACTCATAGTGAATCGCGCGCAGGCATCATCAGTATGTAATCGATGGGGAGTTCGGTTCGCTTGCCACTCTGGTCCGCTGTTCGGCATCACACGATGGGCCCTTTCCTATTTGAGAGGATGCTGAGTCATCCTCTCTCGGCCCTCAGATCTTCCGCCTCCCGATCACGGTCATGGCACAACGCTCTTATTATTGGTTGTGAGTAGGTGCTGTGTAAGTGGCAGTGATGCTTTGACTGTGATTTTGCAAAACTGTTTGTGTTCAGGGTTTTGGTTGTTGTGATCAGTAGAAGCCTAGCGTATGTGTTGGGGGATAGAATTAGCTGGCTAATGGAAGTAAGACATATTCTAAGACTATGATCAGCCTGGGTGACCCTTTGGGCGAGCCACTTTGCGACAGACCCTGCTACTCCTACTCTATATCCTTCATCCAATATCTCAGGTGCCTCTTTCTCACTAGGTATGGGGTGTTTTCCAGGTTTCTTAGATCTCATGGATGGATATCTCTGTGGGTATATTAGATGTGAATAAGAAGCTTCGTTTACTTTCTCCATGTCTGTCATGCGTGGGTATTCTCATTGTCTCCCATGGCTCCTATCGCCCCCAAAATCCCCGGTAAAAACCTTCTTGTCCTCTTGAATCCTCATGAAACCCTGTTATGCCTTCTCAAAATGCTATCCCCAGTGGTCTTCCCCCCCTCACCCCTTACTAATTATCTGTCTAATCCAATATCGACACAATTCTCTGAAAGGGTATAGGTGCTGTTCAATGCTGAATAAAAAAGAAAGTGAATGCCAACAAGAGTAGAGAAAGTTTCGAAAACATAGTGTCATTAGTACAATCCGAGCTATCAAGGATAGATGACACAGGGTGCTGCAATGCCAACCATCCAATATCAGAAATGTGAAGCTGGAAGAACATTGGCTGCGAAAGGCAAATTGCTCTCAGAATTCCACTAATGGCAAGAAGCAAGACAGAAACGCCAAATGGCATGCTTTTCGAATCGCAGATGACATCTTTCATGTGTTCTAGAGATATGCTCGAGGATGCAATAGAACAGTACATTTCCTCCAATAATGTCCCGATGGGTATATCCTCTTCAAGAATAATAATTAAGTTCATGGAACAGAGATCGTTGTGTGGTCCAGCCTCGGTATGATCGTTATGTTACAAGTGATTATCGTAAATGGAAAGGGGTAATTGCTTAACGTGTTGAATATGGCGTTCGTAAAACATAGCGTGATTCAAGCAGTCATCCATCACATGCTCGCCAGTCTGCTGCTGGGTAGTTGCAATGAAGGGTCCTCAAACTCAATCTTTGGCCCGTAAATATCATAAACTGCAGTTCCATATGCAGGTAACTGTCCGATGGTTGTAACTTCGATCGGCGGGTCATAGTGTGGCCACTGCTCTTGCTGTGGGTGGGCTGACGGTGGAGCGTAGTGCCCGGCCGTTGGAGGAATATGCTGCGCTTGGGATACCACTGGCTGCTGTGGCTGAGCCATATGGTGTTGGATAGGTTGCTGGTATTGAATCATTGCCGGCTGAGATTCGGCTGTTGTGTATGCTGGCTGGCTTCCAGGTTGATGTGCGTAAAAGCCCTCAGGAATCATAGGGCTAGGGACTGATGTAGCAGAAAAAGTGCTTGGGCTGCTTTGAATTGAGGTCGCAATTCCGGGTGCTGAATATGGAAGCTCCATGGTAGGTCGTTCCACTTGCTGCGATAGCTGGTAATGAGGTGGTACAGTGCTTGTCATGGTAGCAACACCTGGATTCCCTGCCTCGGTGACATAGTAAGCCTGTCTCGGCATAGTTGCTGCTCGATGGATGAGCTGAACGTGTGGGTGTTGTTCGGGGACGGGAGTACCATGGTACTCATGAGGAACACTGGCGGGGATTCCTTGCCGGTTGCCGTAATGCTGGTGCATATGGCCATGGACTTGTGATTCAAAATCAGCGTAAGAGGAGGCACGATGTAAGGGCCCGCTGGGTGCACCCTGGTTCATGGAAACCATCTCATGAGGTGACCAAGGCATCGAGGAGTGCTGAGGAGTGGAGGGAGACTCGTCATCGTCAGAATCCGAGGAGCAGTCGTCGATGTCGTTAAGGTTCATTCCTTGCTGGTGGGATCTCCGTTGGTGCTTGACCATGGTTGTTTTGCGGCAAAAGCTGAGGTCGGGTTAGTACGTGATGGGTTCGATGGTTATGTTGCGGCCTACCTCTTGGAGCATCCATCGTGAGCGCATTTATATGGACGCTTTCCGGTGTGAATTCGTCTATGACGAGCCAGACTTGATGACTGTGTTATCTGTTAATCCCATTCAAACCATTGACTTGGTCTACACTTACATCCGAGAAACGCTTCCCACAACCGATGTGCTGGCATTGATGAGGCTTCTCTCCTGTGTGTGTCCGAATATGAACAGTCAGAGCACTCCGTTGGATAAAGCTCTTCCCACACCCAGGAATAGAACAAGCGTATGGTCTTTCATTAGTATGTATACGATAATGCCTCTGTAGATCGGACTTTCGATTAAAGCTCTGCAACAGAAGTCAGTCAAGTCCTACGGCCACGGATCATTCTGGCAACAAACCTTTGTGCACGATTGCCAGTCACACTGGAAGGGACGAGCTGTGGGCTCGTTCTCGACTAGTTCCATAAGTTCCATGATTTTGTTAAAACTTGGACGTGCCTCTAAGGCAATGCTTGTGTAGGATGCAGAGGTAAGGCGGAAATAGTTGTTGGCAAGATGTTGACTTGTCACAGCATAATAATTTCAGACGCTCGCTGGGGAAGAGTTGAAGATCCGATGCAGGAGATGTTGCCTAGACTTGCTGAAGGAGTGACAGGTCAACGTTTGCCAAAGGCCTTGGATTAGGGTATAAGAGGCGGCGGTGAGATCCAATTGTAAATGAATCGGCGATTATAAAGTGACGTATAAGTTCTGATCTGACAATCGAAGAGTGTCTACACTGTTGAATGGGTGAAGAAGTTGTGCGACTGTCTGTATATAAAAAGCTGAAGGTGGGATATATAAAAAGACGTGTGAAGCTGAGAATCCAGAAGCCAGGTTGTGTGGGAGCTGAGTGCTTAAGTCTTAACAGGGCGTGCCGTGTTAATGCAGGCGGTCCAAGTATTGCCTAGTGGATCGGGAAGAGATTTGGCTAGGGCTGGGGGAGAGCTTTATGGCTGTGGTGGTGGTTTTTGAGGGATAATACCAGAGACCAAGTAGACGAGCCAGGGGAATATTGAAGCTTATAGTTGATTGGACTCGGAGCGAGCACGAGTCGATAATATGACTGGACTCCAAGGTTCGCCTGAGAGTGTTGAGTCGTGAAAACAAGCTATTTGACGTCTAGTTGATGTGATTCGAGTCAGGTAGACAGTCGATACAGGTCCATTCAAGCCAGACAATACTGGGGGTTCGGCGACAGATATCAACAACGGTCGTCACTGGGTTATGGGCCTATGTCCGGTCCCGCTGGGTAAGGGCAGTGGAGATCAGGAGTGCTTGGGAGACGAAGAGGATAGTGTGATGTAGTGCAGTGTAGTGTAAAATAGCCAGGGCCATGCAGATGCTAAATACCAGACTGAATAACCCAAGCTCGAAGGATGGGCCGTCGCAAATCTGACTCCAGTTGTAGGCGTGCAGCGAGCATGGTATACATACACCAGGGCTATCAAGGAACCACGCAGGAGATCAGAGAAGTCAAGGGATCCCTGCACTGCAACAGCGGGCTTCAGTGGGTCCCATCCGGCAACGAGTGAACTGGGGGGCACAGATGAGGGATTGAGAGAGGACGGCAGGTGGAGGGTGGATGAGCGTGACGAAAGGAAGTAGAGGGAGGCTGATAAAAGAGGGAGATGAAGAGAGACGTATCCAGTGTCAGGGATGACGAGCGAAGCAAAGCAAAGCAAAGCAAGGTCAGGTAAGGCAAGGCAAGATATGGAGAAAAGGGCTGGCACTAACACCAGAACTGAGACGAGGTATTCCTTTTCCAACATTGAGTACAGTAGCATCCATCCGTCGATACCTCTCTAGGCTACCTTGGTTTGTGTCGATGGCGGCGTATAGTAGTTTCCAATGTGGGCTTAGAAGTGCAAATAGCGCCTCTGTACCGTCCTCAAAGACATAGTCTCGTTTCTTGTACCGTATAAAAATGGCATTCATGGTGTGTTCTATGAATGTACCAACTCGAATAATGATCCGAGGTGGTGTAGTGCCGGCCGCTATCCAGTCTCTTAGTGCGCTTGTGGGCTACTAACGCTCTGGTCCCATTACTGTACTTCGCTACAACTCGCCTTGGCTTTGGCAACTTGCCGTTCGGTGTAATTGTGTAGGGACTATCTGGTGGTCGTTCTGCCCCATGTTACAAGACTTTTTCCTTGGGGTCATTGGGTGTTTTTTTTTGGTTTGTCATTATTCCAAAAGCATTAACCAGACCCGCTAGTCCAGGTTAGAGCACATTAGAGGGACATTTTGGCACGCACTACCGTAGAGGCACCCTCTCCTCTGCAAGTTCTAGGACGTTGAACCAGTCTACGGCGACGGATGGAGACGGGGACAAGGGGGACAGAAGCCGAGGAGTCTAAACCAGTTGATGGCGTCGGGTTTGGGGCGTCAAGGCAAGGGATGGCAGATCCCTCTAAACGCACCGCTATCTGTTGCTCTGTGGAGGTGGAAGTGGGAGCGGTCACTGGCTGGAAGGCTGAATAACGACTGACTGACTGGCTACACATACAGTGCAGTGTGCATGAATCAACGCTAGTAGTATTGTCCATCGGGAATGGGATCAGGATTTAGTGAAAACGGACGACGCATATCCAGGTTGACGGTTATTGAGCCAGCTGCTTGGAATCTGTGGCGGAGAAAGAGGGGACCGGGCCGCCTCCAAGGACAGACGGACGACCAGACACCTGGTTACAGATCGAGAAGAGGGAACCCAAAATTTGAGTTGCCTCCGTCTTGCAGCGCCACAGACTCCGGTTGGAGCCGAAGGGTGCTTAACCTGTAACATTGGCTCGTCTTGCGGTTGCGTTTGAGGTCCGAGATGAGGCATTGGCCAGAGGAGCCAAAGAGTGTGGGCGTGTTGTAGAGACAGAGACAGAGAGAGGGTCATCGTGGGCGTATGAGATGCGATCCAAAGTGGATACCACCGAGGTCCATTACTTGCTGAGACTGAGACGGGGGGACCCAGGCTCTTGGCTTGGCTTGGGAAAGCGCCGCGGCCGGGCTCAGGCAGGCTCAGGCTCAGCCCGCAGGGCCCCTCCCTCCCTACTCTTTAGTGGGTATTTCCACGATAAATGAAGCTAGATCAGAGTGCGATAGTGGTCCTTGCGGTCTTCTTTCTGAGAGACAAGACAAGACGGACGGGATGGACCAGCCTGACCAGCTCACCGGAGCATTGGAGATTGGGAAGAAAATGAACAGTGGATAACAGCTAGTGGATCCGTCCACTGTAAAGGTCGATCACAGACGGGTTCTTGGCTGGATTTCATAACTCTGAAATGCTAGTCTAGCGTCCAACGTTACTCTCTGGCTCTGGCTCTGGCTCTCCTCTGGTTCTGGCTTCTGCCACTGGAGATAGAACTTGGTAATCGAGCAAGCCACCTACTTCGATGGTACAGAGCCTGACAGTCTATAGCCGGCACGCGCCAAGTCCTCATATGTACCTTCAAGCCTCTCTTGATGCCTTATCGCAACCAAAGACCTCCAAAGTCGGCATATCCATGTCCGTCGAGACGAGGACAGGGGCTCCTATGCAGGCAGTTGCAATGATCAGCCACTGCTAAGAAGAAAACAGGGGTTCTGCTTGACCAGACATTCCCCCGCCAAAGACATGTTGCCAGTAACTCGTCTTTCAGAGTCGAGTCGAGGGTAAAATCAATTACATCAGAAAAGAGAGGATCGTCGGTGAGCAGGTGATTATCGCTATCTCTTATATCCAGCCAGTATTCCCATGCACCATGACTCGACAAATCCTTCTGACAGGTGTCGTCGGCGATTAAATAAACTTGCCTCTCACGGCACTTGGGACGTTGGACAAGACGGGAGTTGAACCAAACGGCGGGGATCCAATAATGTTGGCAATCAGTGAACACCAGCAACAGCACCAGCACTTCACAAGCATGGGGCCTAAGGGTTCGTGCCGGTCCTGGGCGCTCGTGTCACACCTCGTTTCATTCACCAACGTCCATTCCTGGCCTAAAGACGTCCGAGCAGAGGCCCGAACAGGTAACGGCGTTCAGATCCGGAGACACAGATTAACCTTTCTGCAAGTGCTTAGAGGCTCACGATACGGAGTCTGAGTGAAGCAATTTCCAACTGCACAAGGCCACAGAACAAGCCATCAACATGAGCATTCCAAGGGAGGTTGGACAACATTGCATTGATTTGAGGAGGAACCATGACGTGCAAAATACGTATTTCCTACCCTGAAATGGACAAAACGCCAGGCCATAAAACCTACCAAGATCTCTGCTCCACCACCCACAGTGCATACCCTTGTCAAACCCGGCTGATTGTTCACGCCGTTCCTGACTTGGCTCTTTACACGCAGCGCTGCACAAGCAGTGTCCTGCCCAACTTTTGTCTAATCCTTGTCTCTAAGCCAAAGTCCATAAATCAATCAAGCCTTGCCCACGCTCCTGGCTCCAACTTGAAAGCCACCCAACGCAGGGGCCTCAACTGAGCTCCCACTATCAACGCGATCCCCTGTTACAATACAGCATCCTGCATGCCGGTTACCGCACCCTTGAGCGCCTCCTCAACGCGGACCAAACCCTACAGCCTCTGTTTATTTCCTGAGTTTTACTATCAATGCACAACTCACACATCATCTTTGCTACCTACTACTGAAGCGCGATCTCCTCATGCCATGTCATCTCATCTCTAATCCTCTCGCCCCTTGAAATGTTAAAATTGTTGAAGGTTTGTCCGTATGGCCTGGTAGTGCAATGAGATTAAGTGTTTGCGGTTGATAGTTGAGAGTGGGCTACGTTGATGCTGATTTGTCGAATTACTCTCTCTGAGACCCCAACGTTTCGAACGCCTCCTCCACATCGCTCAGCCAACAACTGGAGAATGAAATTAATCCCAAGCGTTGATCCCTTTGGACTAAGATTTGACAGAAGTCACCCAGCCCAGCCTATCTCAATTGACACGCAGCAGGGTCTGGGCAGCTGACCTGTCTCATTTTCATCCTCAGGGCTGAAGCTGGCTGTTGAGGTGAAGACATCAATGCAACCCTGCTCTCCTTCGACAAGACCAAGTGATCAACAGCCTCTCAGAGTACAACACCATCTCTCCGGAGTATTTACATTAAATATGGCTGCTAGCTTTTGAGTGCTGATCAGCTGGCGATGCTTGCACAGCCCTCTCACCTCCCCTGGCGCCAAGTCAGCGGTCTAGGTAATGGCAGCTCTGAGGAGTACACAAAGCCGCATTGTAGCGAGCCTCGACAGTACAGGCCAGACTATTGAGCATTCCCTGTTCAGTTGATCATCGAATATTTGGGGTATGGTGTGTTCCTTTTGGGCCAGAAGCATGAAGAGTTGATGGGGAAATGACGACTGTTCACCAAGGCGCCACTCCGATAACTAAGGTAGGCGTTAACTATGCCCCGGGGTAGCAGAAGCATGAGTCTGAAACAGACGGCATTGTATCATTACTCAAAGAAAACCGGGCATAGGAAACGAGATGTCAAAAGTGGCAGTGATTTCTTCGGTTCCTCCGTGTAAACATCCATATCCAGGGTATGCTTGCGATCTCGCAAGCTATGTTTGTTTCTTCCTATGTCTATTCCCCCCAGCATTGACAGATAATAACAGGAGTTACTATAGTCCGCAAGTCATGGATAAGTGACAGAGCCAGGCTAGCAACGTGTTTTCGAGGCTACCTCTACACCATGAGAAAGACAGTGATAGACGCCCTTCAACCCTGGATTAGAGTTTAGAATTGGGGGAAGAGGCTGGCTACGGTTGCATTTATCGACCCCACATGCTTGGCTCATCACCAGTCGGCTTGGTTTGCGGACCGAGAGTTCTACAGGACCAACACAAATTCATTCTCCGACCCTTCCAGGGTCAACCCAGAAGACGCAATGCGCTGATCATCTGGACTAGACCGTGAGGCTCGCAGTGTCGTACCCGGGGACCCTGCTCCTGCTCCGCTTTGCACAACTTGTTCCTCGGCCGAGTTTGTTTCCGAAAGCAGCTTGTGCAAAACGTGCATTGAAACAATTCAGTGAGGGGAGCCCTGGCCTTCCGTAACATGCCCGTGAAGATCACTGGACCGGCAACACCCTGCCAGATTTGCGAGGCATGACCCTGAATGGCTCACCTTGCGATGTAACGGTAGCGATGCCTTCGACTCTCGATAGCTGCAGTTGCTTACGGGGACTCCATCTCACCGCTTCCCACGGCCACCTGCACCTGTGCCCTCGATCCTGCAGCACCAGAGAGGCGCTCGTGATGTGATGTCCCGAGCTCTGGGGAGATTGGTGCAGACACTCTGCGGGAATTATCAATGCATATCCGCCACGTTAGTTTCGATGATTGAATAAGACATTCGCCAAGGATCTTACAGGCTGGAGATTGTTGGTTCAACGACACATTTTTCAGTGGTGTCGAGTTGAGAACATGTTCTGGGTTCGAGTACTCAGTGGCGCAATCCATCATCAGTTGTGCCCGCTGTCATTCCCTCCTGAGGGCTGCGGCTCAGCTATAATGCGGCTGTATTATTATCGTGAGCTAACTGAGGGCGGTCTATTATGGGCGTTCCGGTACGGCTGATTCGAGAAATGAGCATATGTTTTTGTTTTAGCCGTTGCATGTCGTTAGGAATTTCTGATAGGTCTCTTGACTCTGTTCGCTTACGGGTTTATCCTGTTCTGAGTCCTGTTCTGGCCAGATCGTTCTGTGGCTTGTTCATGTCGGATGACTTTCATCATCATCATCAGCATCTGAAACACTCAACTTCGTAGCTAAACTAACGCACAGCACTCAGGCGCGTCTGTGATGACCTCTATTATGCCGATAAGCGCGAGATCCTCGATGCGCTTTGACAGATGTTGAACATATCTACAGTGCATGACGCTTTGAATGTAGTCTGTGAGTTGCTGACACTAGTGCGGGAAGCATGATGCCAACGATGCCATCTGAACAAGCCTCAACTCCGGAAGAAAGAAAGCATCTCCCCGGAGATTGAGAACATACTAGTTATGCTTGTGGCTGTGGCGTACTATCTTTGAGGTTGAATGATCTGTGCCAATGTAATGATATTCGGGCCAGGGAAGCATGAACATCCATCCATTAGCAGGGCAGGAACTATCGATCCGGTCTATGGGTTGCCAGATAGTGACTTTTGAGCCTGAGGCGGCCATGTCACGGGTTCAGGAGGTGCTCTTTCAAGTTTCAGTTGGTAGGTACCTACCTTGCAGACGAAGGGAGGCAAGCAGATTCGTCTTCATACAAGTCATCACCAACAGTAGCAAATAATACCGTCATCACTTTCTGGGCTTCTCCTGGCTCGGCGAGGGCCTCAAAAGCCTTGATCCGGTAGCCGTACATACAGATTCCGTGCGACCGGCATGCACAGACTTAAAGTGCAGCGTTTGTTTTACGTTGATCTTTTTTTAACCCCAACTACCGTGCGTTGTCGTTACATGTCACCAAGCCCACAGAAATCACATGCAGGGTCAGGTCTGAAGCGCCTTTCTGGCTGAGAAGAGCGTTGAGGTACGTCTAGTCTACGTCAATCTCAGCCCTGCAAACTCCAGGCTCTGGGTCATGAACTGATTTGAGACCAGTTCGAAACAACGGTGGATTTAGCATTGACTGGCTGCCACGTGCCACATGCCTGTCCACGCCAATCGGAAGGAACCGTCCACAGGAGCCGGTCAGATCGTCAGTGAGCCTGAGCTCTCTGTTGCATTGACCTGAATGTTTCTATTTTCGAGTGAGTGTTGGAAAGAGACAAGAGGACAATGTACAGCAAAGCACTGGCCTGTCATTGGCAAATAAGGCCAGGGGCACTGGAATTATCATGAACTCGCTCGCATGGTTTGATAATTTGGCTGCCTAACGGCTCGCTCTTCTTGGCGGCCCATTAGTTGAAATT